TACATTTTTACCAACACTAAATTTTACATCTTATATTTTAATGGGTCAAAAATAGTTTGCCATTATTGATTTAATTTGTGTTTCTCTGACTTTTCTAACAGAAATGACCCAGCATCCTTCTAGTTGTTTATTTGCACTTGCATTTGCACTCAGTAATAATTACTAACATTAGTGTCAGGCACTGAAATGGACATTATCTTACTTGAGCCTTGCAAAAGCCCTATCAGAAGTATAGCACCTGCTTTCCCCAGCTCCATTTTACAGATGACAAAATCATTTCCAAGAGGTTCTGTCACTTGCCCAAGATCACACAACTGGCAAAATGATAGAGCTGCAATTTAACCAGTCTGAATACAGTGCCTCTGGGTCTAACTACTAAGCACACAGCATCTGCTGGCCGGAACATTTTCATCCCCTTCCCTTCTTCCTTCTAGTGAAGTCTGGGTGAGTCAGTTGAATTAGAAAGTATTCAAAGTGTTCACTTCAGAATACAATATGGTAGACGTTATTGGAGATCTGAAAGAGCCAAACTGATGCCCAGCATCTTACTGGAAGCCAAACTACATCACATTTAAGGATGCAATGCTGACATAGGGGTTAAAGTGCTCAGCTGCTATCTAAAAGGGAAGTTCAAACTCACAAGCTACTCCACAAGAGAAAGATGTGGAAATCTGATTTGGTAAAGATTACAGCATTGGTGATATCTCAAAGAATGGGCAAACCTGAGCATGCCCGTGGGCTTACACACCGAGTATGAAAACAGTTGTTGTGAAGTGCTGATTCCTACCCAGAGCAATTCCAACCCATAGCAACCCTGTATAGGGTTTCCAAGGAGTAGCTGGTGAACTTCAACTGCTGACCTTGCAGTTCAAATGGCTTTGCAGTCTGGCGCATTAACCCACATCGCCACACCAGGACTCCGAAAACAACTAGTAGTTGACATTAACAAAATGGATCCCACTGAGCCACCCTTCATCCAGAAGAGATATAGGAAATCAGTAAGGAAGCCAATGCCTGCATTAAGAAAACTGGCTACAACTTGACACAGTAGCATTTGTGCCAATTTCTGGTTGGACTGGTGACAATGTGCTGGAGCCAAGTGTTAGCATGCCTTGGTTCAAGAGCTAGAAAGTCACCCATAGGATGGTAATGCCAGTGGAACCATGCTGCTTGAAGATATGGATTGCATCATGCCACCAACTCATCTAACTGACAAGCCCCTTTGTCTGCCTCTCCAGAATGTCTATGAAATTGATGGTATTGGCATTGTCTGTGTGGCACAGTGGCCACCTTTACTCCCGTCAACATTGCCAGTGAAGTCAAGTCTGTTGAAATGTACCATGAGATGTTCAGTGAAGCTCTGCCTGGGGACAATGTAGGCTTCAACATTAAGAACGTCTCAGACAAAGATGTTCATCAAGGCAAAGTGACTGATGGTAGAAAAAATGGAAGCAGCTGGCTTCACTGTGTGGGTGATCATCCTGAACCATCCAGGCCAAATCAGTGCTGGATATGCACCCATGCTGAGTTATCACAGAGCTCACAGTGCTTGCAAGTTTGCTGAGCTCAAAGAGAAGATCGATCCCCATTCTTGTAAGAAGCTAGAAGATGGCCCCATTTTTTTGAAGTCTAGTGATGCTGCCATTGTTGGCATGGTACTCAGCAAGCCCATGTGTCTTGAGAGCTTCTCAGACTAGCCTCCTCTGGGTCCTTCCACTTCTTGCAGTTATGAAACAGATTGTTGCTGTGGGTGTCATCTAGGCAGCGGACGAAAAGGCTTCTGGACCTAGCAAGTTCACCAAATCTGATCAGAAAGGCCAGAAGCCTAAATGAATAATTTCCCTTTACACCTGCCACTCCAGTCTTCATCAGTGGTGGGAGAACAGTCTCAGAACTACTTGTCTCAACTGACCATTTAAGGTTAATTGTCAAAGACTGGTTAACGATAACAATACATCCTAAACCTTCAGGAGAGGAATGTTGTGGTAGTTTTAAGTCATTATTATTTTTTTAATCAGTACTTTTTCAATGGAAACAACTTGACCAAAAATTTGTCACAGAATTTTGAAATCCAATAAAACAAAATTTTATGAGAACAAAATGAATAATCAGGACAGCATTTATCCAAGGTAAAATTCAGAAGGGTTGGGAAAGGAGGAGGAATGGAAATGGAAACAAAAATCAAAGGGAGGAATTGGGTACGTGATGTTACATTGAGGGGGCTGTAATCATTGAGATGAAATGAAGTATGTGATTTGTTGAATGTAAACTGATGATTCATCCTGTAAACTTTCGCTCAATTAACAATAAAGAAAAAGAAGAAGAAATGAGGGAGTAGTCCTTCTTTGTCTTAAAAAAAAAAAAGAATATAGCATTGGAAACCCTATGGGGCAGATCAATTCTGTCCAATAGAGTCACTCTGAGTCACAGTTGGTGGGACAACAATGAGGTTGTTGTTTTTTAGATATGATTTAATATCAGAAAATATGGCACAGTGGATTAAGCATTGAGTCAGCAGTTCAAAACTACCAGCTACTCAGTAAAGATTTACAATCTTGGAAGCTCCTAGGGAGCCATTCTGTTCTGTCCTATAGAGCTGCTATGTATAGTACAACTTGACAGAAGTGGGTTAAGTATAATATGGTCAGCAAATCTATCCAATGTTATATGATCATATGATCATATAACATTCCTGCAAACCCCCAGAATTTAATACTATACAAAGAGCAGTGTAGGGAATACTGCAAACTACCTGGAAATGAAAGTGAAAGTAGTTGGGGGGAAGGGGGTTGTAAAATAATTTAGGAAACAAATCACTTTGGAAATGATGTAATATTAAAATAAGAAAAGTACCCTGGGTGAACAAAAATGAGCAAACAGACCCATCTCCATCCTTTTGCCTTCGATTACTCACTTCTTTGCCAGGTGTTCTCACCCGCCGTGGTACTGTCCAGCTTGGTGGTGCTGAAGCAGGTGTTCACAGATGTCTAAATGCACAGCCAACACAGCCCTAACACCCATAGTGACCTAGGGTTTCCAAGCAGCAGCTGGTGAGCTTGAATACTGACTTTGCAGTTCAAACAACTTTGCAGTTTGACTCATTAGCCAACAGTGCCACACCAAGACTCCTATATTACAGTGGTGGTGATGGTGTGCGGTGGAGTCGGTTCCGACTCATAGCGACCCTGTACAAGGTTTCCGAGGCTGCAAATCTTTACGGGAGCAGGAAGCTTTATCTTTCTCCCGCGGAACCGCTGGCAGTTTCGAACTGCTGACCTTGAGATTAGCAGCCCGATTCGTAACCGCTACGCTAGGCACTAATCGGGCTGCG